ACAGGTTTATCTCAAATCGTAATGTATACAGTATATTTCTAAACTATTGTATTTAATAATCATTTATATACTGCGAGTGAAAGTGAATACAACTTTGAAAGGAAGTTCACACTAATTATTATCCAGTGATTTGAAAACAAGTGGACAATAGTAGTCTGGTGTTTGTGTATGTCCTTCAAAACAGTGTCTAATGTTTGAACATGCATATAAAATTTTAATAAAATCAGTACCTCCCAGAAAATAGCACATTATAAGCAATATAATGATAATCCTAAAAGTAGTCATTAACTCAAAAAAGTCATTACACATGGAATTAATTTTGAGGCCTATTATTGAGTTTAAGTTTTTTTTATAGTCTTTGATATCGTTACTACTGTATTGTCAAAGTAATTGTTTTCTATGCGAGAATGTGCATGAAAATAAATGTAAATAATTTGATGTGAAGTTTTATGGGATATCATTAGATTTATTAATGATAAAAAAATACTATATAAACCTTTTTGTGTTTCTCAATCTGAAAGTCATAAACAATTTAAATGGAAAGACATTTAAATTAGAGCTCCTTTGTAGTGGCAAACATTTTTATATAACACAATACTTATATACAATTTCATAATAATTACTATTAGCATTAAACTTAAGAAATTGTCAAATATTTTTCAAAGTTTATGTTTAAAGTAATAAAAAACAAAATCTCATTAAAATAATGTCAAAAACACTGTATCTAAAAATGCAATATTTACTATATATATCAAATAAAACCTTTAAAGTCTGTTAAGAGACTTATATTTGTATACTGTTTTGAATCAATCAAATACATAAAATCCATACCTTGTTCCGATCGGGTCTTATAATGGTTAGCCTGTCTGGACCTCGCCTCGCATTCCGAGTACCAGTTCAAGGCTTTGGTCGCGTCTTTGAGTGCATCCAAATTCTTGGGTTTTTTAAATCCATTGCCCATAATATAGACGTACGCGGAAAACGGCTCAAAGTTTGCCGTATATTCAGTATTCCTGAGGATCTTCTCGTGAATCTTAGGCGTCGAGTCGACGGCATCCACTCTCGCGGCCACAATCGGTGGCTCGATATTCATGTATTCAACTTCATTGCCCTTTTTAGGCCAATCAAACGAGGAACCGTACCTCGCGTTAGCCAACTGTCCATTCATTTGAAAGATATTTATTAAAAAGTGTTTAATAGTTTGTTTTCCAATCAATTATACAAAAGTTTTTGCTTACTTTTGGTGGTGCGTGAGAGTGATTGCGATTACCATGCGGAACGTTGCCCCAGGTATAATTCTGTCGATATTCAGTGTTCGGGCAAACTTTCTGATCACTCATTTTCATATTTGTTTTCCAATCAATTATACAAAAGTTTTTGCTTACTTTTGGTGGTGCGTGAGAGTGATTGCGATTACCATGCGGAACATTGCCCCAGGTATAATTCTGTCGATATTCAGTGTTCGGGCAAACTTTCTGATCACTCATTTTCAATATGTAACACAATTATTATATTAATGATAAATGTGTAATAATTATAAAGTGCTCACAACAGCACTTTCATAGGCTATTCAAATCTGTTGATAACTTATATGGGTTTTCGCAATAAGTTTAACACTTTTTTGGTGACAAAAACT